TGTCAGCACGCGGTCCGGTTCTGCTTCTGAAGCTGCTTCCCGTTTTTGATACGGTGTACTCTAACCCCACGCACCATCCAATTATCGAAAGAGATATCTACATGAATTGTTCAACGTTCTCTAATTTTAGTACTACTATTTGCCTCCTGCTGGAACTTAATTTGGGAAAGAAAAAGAATCATGCAGAGCGCCCCCGCATGACAGCCATAGTGAATGGGCAAAGCAGGAAGAGAGATGGGATGATGCTGTGATCGATCCAACATACCAGCTCTCCATGAGGACCTTGTCCTGATTCATGAGCGCGAGAGGCGCCATGGAGACACCCTCCTCGTTGGGTGTAAGGAACTTGCACACAGGCGCGGCGCCGTACCGCCGGGAGAGGCGGCCGTCCTTGTCCTCCTCCACGGTGCATGACACCACCTTGTACGAGGCCAGCAGCCGCAGCATGCGGTCCACCATATCCGGCGCGGCCGGGTTCGCTGTGGACGGGAGCTTAGCGGCCACCTCGGCCGGGCTCAGCAGCTTGCCGTCAGCAGCCACCAGGGTGTCCAAGAGGCCCAGCTCGATGGCGTTCTTGAGCGTCATCGGCAGGATCGATGATGAGCCGAGCTGGAGAGCGAACATGCACGCTTCCTCGTCGGCGGTGAAGCCCATCTCCTCTGCTTCTCTACAGCCGAGCTAACGGTGGTGCTGGTGGATGTCTTTTGTGAGCGACTGAGCGATGAGTAATGCTTTGGAGGGAGTATGGGAAGGGGTTATATGGGGCTTCCTGGCTTCACCAACCACCACCTCGTTTTTCTTCTTGGTCTTCACCAAAAGTAAAGGAGAAATATGGCACACCGGAAAGTTATTCTTGCATTATTGTTGTTGTTGATAAGTAGGGTTTGTTTATGTCGATAATCTTGGGGCGCTGGTGTATGTTGGGATTAGGTTTTCCCAGATCATATATCTCATATTATACTTTTGTTTCATAAATATAGTATCTTCTGATATTAAAAAGACAAACATTTATATCCAACAAAACACTGCTGGATGGATGGAAGATGAAAAATACGTTGTAAATACATTGTTAGAATCGGTCATTCAGTATCAGCGTTACTATTCCTTGTACATAAACGTCACTCAAAAGGTAAGGAAGAAAACATGTGTACATCTTTGCATACATCCTTAAGCAAAATAAGCTACAACATACTGATGAGTTGGGTGAGTGTCCTGTACCCTGCAGCAGGACAGCCCAAATCTTTTCATGGGCTCGAATTACGTGAAAGAAGTTTGGAGCTTAATTAGGTCATAGTTGTGTACCACACCAGGTAAGTAAGCTGGGACTCGGATGGATGATGCTTGTACCGTATCCTATTTCATAATTTATTTCAATTCAAAGTTGGGACGGATGCAGTACAGATTGGCAAACGAATACATAATACGCCAGAATATATTGGAATCGTACAAAAAGTGGGACATGGTATGGTAACGGAGCAGCGGAGGACCGAAGGCATAGAAAAATGATAGCAGAATACAAGAAAAGCAACCATGAACAGTACATTAAGCGTTCATTAACAATACATAATATAGCTCACAGGTATATCTAGCCATCACATACAAAACAACAAAGAGTTAATTCGAGTTCTTTGCAAGCTATATAGCACACAGCCTTACAGTTACACCTGCTGAATTATTCCTGTACATGAAGATGATGTTTCCAGCGCAAGTGGCTCCAATTTTCCTGGAATTCCTGAGAATTTGCGGAAATCGTATTTTCCGCCCTTATCGGGAAAAAACTAAAATAAAATTTTTTCTCTCGGTATGAGGACAGTTGGAAATATGAGCAATTTTCCATATGATTTAATTGAAAGAAACAATAGATAAAACATAATATAATAACAGAGTTAAGACTAACAGATAGTGGGCAAATAACATGAGAAGAAGAGAATTTGAACATAACATTTCTAGGACAAATGCTAGAACAAGAAAGTCTACCAGGATCTCGAACAGAAAGGACATGAACACATACTGAGCAGCGAAGGAAGCATTGGCGTTGGCGTTGGCGTTGGTGTTGTCGCCCATATCGTCGAAGAGACTCGCGACGTCAAGGAAGAAGTCGTTGTTGGGGAAGAGATCATCAGCGTCCTTCGCCGTCATGACGAAGAAACCAGTAGTCGTGCAGAGCACTCCCCAAAAATCATATCACCCATCTACCGTACAGGTCTAGAAGTATTGGGGTTCTGGAGGCCTACTGTCCCGACCTGTGGTGCACGCCGCAAACTGGGATGGAGAAGAACCTAGCAGTACCTCAATGATCTGGAATCCATGGTGTGAGGCAAGTGACGTGTGGTGTATCATTATAGAGATGAGTGACCTCTATTTTATAGGCACATGAGGAGGAGGCGAACTCGCAACGAGCAGAGATGAAACGAGAAGATGGCAGACGAAACAAACAGGCAGCGGCCAAAGGATGCATCCTTCATGCGACCTTTCATATACCAGTCATGCGTGTCAAAATTTAGACAACGGCTCAGCTCATTCCCGCAACCCATGGCGTGCGCGTCATTACAAGGCAGGCAGCAGAGAAGGAGGAGGAGCGCGCGGATATGTCGCTCTTCTTCTCATGCTCATTCATGTGGGAAAACAACCGCTCCCAAATAAATAGGCCCAACTCCTTATAAACTAGCAGTGTAGGACTACACTTTAGACGCACCTCTTGCCTTGCATGAATGTGATAAGTGGGCCTCTAGCATTTATTAGGAATTCTGAAAGTGGTTATTGTGCTTTGCCAAAAATAGACCAAATTCCAGTAACTCCCCATCAGATCCCAAAGGCAGACAAAATTTGCCTTTGGTTCAAAAACGTTGTTTATATACTAGTACTACAATGGAGACTATTAAGTTAAACTTCCACCTAGGACTCTATGCTACACTAGTAAGCAACTTGAATAGTGGTCGGGGCCTTGAACTGCAAGTTTTCTAAGAATCTAGCTTAACTCAAAGCCTTGACCGATACTAGGCTACCGTGGAACTTCCCCGTGGGTGGAACTTATGCGTCATACTCCAAGGCCTTCCATGAGTTTACTAGAGAACACCCCAATCTCATATATTGCAACGTTTAGCAATCAGAGTCATATAAGTGTGTGTTTTAAAAGATATTCTGCAGGACAACATCTTTTCTTAAATAGGATAGTGAGAAGACGTTAAGATAAACATCAACCTGCCATGTAGATTAGAAGAGTATTACATCTTCATAGAGTAGTATTATTAATAGTAAGGATACTCTCCTCTTGGCTTGTCTTCCAATTCTAATTCATAGGATCTTCAATCACATAGAGTAGGTTACCACTGTGAACAACTCATATTGTGGGTCTCATACCTATCTCCTTCGATGGATTATCTATCAAATTACATGATAGACCCTTAGTAAAAGGACCTGTCAGATTTTTAGATGTTTGGATGTAATCCAACACAATAACTCCGGAGATTCTCCTTTTCCTAATAGACTTGAATCTTCTCTATACATGTCTTGATGACTTCATGTTATCCTTTGAGCTACTCACTTTGGCAGTCACAGTTTGGTTGTTGCAGTTCATAAGGATACCTAATACAAGTTTCTCAACAACCGGCAAGTCATTCAAGAGTCGACGAAGCCAATCTGCTTCGACCATAGTTGTATCTAGTGTTGTGAGTTCTGCTTCCATTGTTGACCTCATTAAGATGGTCTGCTTGCAAGATTTCCAAGAAATAGTGCCACCTCCATGAGTGAATAAATATCCGCTCGCGGCCGTTATGCCATTAGCATCAGAGATCCAGTTTGAGTCACTATACCCTTCGAGTACCACTGGGCACCCAGTGTAGTGAATTCCATAACTCGGACTGCCTTTCAAATAATGCATAACTCTCCCTAGAGCTTTACAATGATCATCCCTCGGTTTTGAAACAAATAACTCGGAGTGCGTGTCAAATAACACAATGTAGTTAATTCCATAACTTGGAGTGCCTTTCAAATAACTCATAACTCTCCCTAGAGCTTTACAATGATCATCTCCCGGTTTTCAAACAAATCTGCTCAGTTTGCTAATAGGAAACAAAATGTCAGGTCTCAAAGTGCTGGCTAAATAAATAAGCGAACCAATAATATGAGATTTGCATGCATCACAAAAATCTTCTAGGTCCATGGTATAAGATTCATCATAAAGATCAAACAGGACAGTATAAGTATTACGCTTCGATGAAAACTCAAACCTCCGTACGAAGGAATTGGTGAGATAATAATATTGTAGGCACTTGTCCGATAGAAAATCCTCGAGGTTGGCATTTTGTATGTATGCATAGAATTCATCCTTGAAACCTGCACGATCCATAAATTCATCCGAGGGCCATTCACACGGCATCACTTGAGCTTCCCTTGGTAGTTCCGGGTCCGGTTCTCGTATTGCATGCCTCGGTGCTTGCTTCCTTGAAGAACCACCTTGGTACATTCTCCTCGACATTTTCTGAAAATTTCTGAAATTTTTAGTAACTCAAAATAAAAGTCAATCATACTCAACAAAATTGATAGCAACCACTCCTACAAGTGTCTAGAAGCTATATCATGCATCAAAACAACTTTGGACCGTACAAATATGACATGCAAGCTCAAGAACAAGGTCACAACAGAAGCAAAAATTTGCAATGAATAAAGCGCTAGAACAAAAACTAATTGGACCATTGGAGGAGTCACATACCAAAAAACAATCCCCCAAAGCAGTTTTGTGAATGGAGCTTTGAGCAAGGAGATCGAAAATGGCAGCAAGATGAGCAAGAACACGAGTTTGAGCTATGGAGTGATTTTTTCTGGAGGAAAAAGGAGAAGATGGGTGCTGGAATAAGTGGAGGGGGCACGTGGGGCCCACAAGGTCGGGGGGCGCACCCTCCACCCTTGTGGCCAACTGGTGAGGCCCCCTGGTGTACTCTTTGCACCAGAAATTCTAAAATATTCTAAAAAAGTCATATCCAATTTTCAGGGCATTTGGAGAACTTTTATTTTTGGTACATTTTTTATTGCAAGAATAATTTTGAAAACAGACAGAAAATACTATTTTTCCTTTATTTAAACTAAAGAACAGAAAGTAAAACGTAGGTACAGAAAGTTGTGCCTTCTAAATTCATCCATCTCATGATCATCAGAAGGAATCCATTAACAAAGTTGATCAAGTCTTATTAATAAACTTCTTCCGAGTGACATGAAACAGGAGAATTTTCGAATAACACTAGGTTACCTCAATGGGGATATGCATGTCCCCAACAATAAGAATATCATATTTCTTTTTGACAGTAGGAAGAGGGAATTCAAAACTTCCAATAGTAATAGTTGAAATTTTTCCAATAGAATTAATAATATGAGCTTGAGGTTGTTTCTTCGGAAAGTGTAAGGTATGATCATTAGCATTAACATGAAAAGTTACATTGACTTTGTTGCAATCAATAACAGCCCTGCAGTATTCAAAAATGGTCTACCAAGGATAATCGACATACTATCGTCCGTGGGAATATCAAGAATAACAAAGTCCGTTAAGATAGTAACATTTGCAACCACAGCAGGCACATCCTCACAAATACCGATGGGTATAGCAGTTGATTTATCAGCCATTTACAAAGAAATTTCAGTAGGTGTCAACTTATTCAATT